CTCAGTCTGAACCTGAAATTGTGGCGCTCGGTCCGGCTGAGACTTGTGATACTTAGGCTGGCTGAGGCTTGGTCTGGCCGAGTGCTTCATGCTCAGTCTAGCTGAGGCTTTATTATGCTCAGTCTGGCAGAGGCTTTTTGATGCTCAATCTGGCTGAGGCTTTATGATGCTCAGTCTAGCTGAGGCTTTATGATGCTCAGTCTGGCTGATGCTTTTTGATGCTCAGTCTGGACGAAACTTTTTAATGCTCGTTCTGGCTGAGGCTTTATGATGCTCAGTCTGACTGAGGCTTTATGATGCTCAGTCTGGCTTATGCTTTTTGATGCTCAGTCTGGACGAAACTTTTTAATGCTCGTTCTGGCTGAGGCTTTATAATGCTCAGTCTAGCTGAGGCTTTATGATGCTCTTTGGCTTCAATTTCCCATTCACTCGGTAATGGTTTTGATCAACCAAATATACCACGTGAATCACAACGCGGCATAGAACGCGTTACCACTTTGACTCGAGTAAATCGACACTCGGGGCCCACCTAAAAAATAGACCGAACTTAGGAAAAAATTCTGGTTTTATCCAGAATTTTATAACCATTTCCAACAAAATTTACGATTTTATATTGAGTGATTGAAAAACATAAGAAAAAATAAAAATTTATGATTTGCCAAGGATACGACCAGGTGCTTTTCCAAGACCAACTAATAATTTTGGGTGACCCTCTAATTTAGAAATGATTATGTAATTATAAAGTCCAAACAAAATATATACATATATAAAGAAAGTACAATATTATTGATTGGATATTGTGACCGTCTATTGACGCATTTTAATAATAAAATAGTAAAGTCTTATATGTTCAAGATTAAAATTTTAATACAAAATAGAATTATTATAAATGGTATTGAAACCAAGTCATTCACATGACCATGGGGCTCTGGACTGACCACGAACTAATCTTGATATTCTAATTGGTTATGAATTTTAAAAGTAGAGTTATTTGTGACAATTTTATCTTATATTTGTATGAGTGATCTTCAACATATAAGTTGCTACTAGTTTGTTCTCAACAACTTGGGTTATGAATGATCTTACATCGGTCAATATGTGATGCGAGCGGATCCTCTAGAGTTAATTCTCTAGAGTGATCTCCTAAAGTAGTTGATCGAATTTTTTTTCAAAATACTCACCAAAACGACGTCGTTTTGGTGAGTTTGATTCTGAGCCGTTCGATCAACTACTTTAGGAGATCACTCTAAAGAATTAACTCTAGAGGATCCGCTCGCATCACATATTGACCGATGTAAGATCATTCATAACCCAAGTTGTTGAGAACAAACTAGTAGCAACTTATATGTTGAAGATCACTCATACAAATATAAGATAAAATTGTCACAAATAACTCTACTTTTAAAATTCATAACCAATTAGAATATCAAGATTAGTTCATGGTCAGTCCAGAGCCCCATGGTCATGTGAATGACTTGGTTTCAATACCATTTATAATAATTCTATTTTGTATTAAAATTTTAATCTTGAACATATAAGACTTTACTATTTTATTATTAAAATGCGTCAATAGACGGTCACAATATCCAATCAATAATATTGTACTTTCTTTATATATGTATATATTTTGTTTGGACTTTATAATTACATAATCATTTCTAAATTAGAGGGTCACCCAAAATTATTAGTTGGTCTTGGAAAAGCACCTGGTCGTATCCTTGGCAAATCATAAATTTTTATTTTTTCTTATGTTTTTCAATCACTCAATATAAAATCGTAAATTTCACTTCTTCTATCGATTCCAATATATATAAAACGTTACGTGACGTTGTTTCTGGACTAACTAATAACTTGTAGTCTATATTAAAAAGACCTGGGATGCTGCTATGTCCCATTGTGGGAGGTCGTCCTATTGTAGGATTTGTCAAGAATGTTATTCATATAAAAATCAAGTTAATCGAATATTTATAATTTTAGGTCCTAATTATTTTTAAAAATTTATCAGATGCTTTTGTTATAAAACCGCAGATATTCAATTAATTTAATTTTTTTGTATAATTAATTTGCTCAACAAACTCTAAACAATTCAAATTACCAAAAACGACTGAAGACGAAGTTCTACAAGAGAATACTATAAAATCTCTAAATCCATCTTAAAATTCTCGTAAGACTGGATAATTGATCGTAGTTTGAGTACACGCGTGTAGGCACAGATGGCGAGCTACGGCAAGGTCAAACAAACCGCGTCCGGTGCAAGCTCGCTGTCTCGGTCCGCACCCCTTTTGTCGGCCCACACTATACCATACCAAACTCCCAACTCTCTCTCTCTCCACTCTCCAACGCAAATAGTAAAAAACTGTCTATATATATGGTACGGTATAGTGAGAGAAAATTAAATTTGATGGTGTTGGGAGAGGAGGAGGAGGAGGATGTGGAGGAGATCATGGTCGTTTATTTTATTGAAACAGACTGGTGTGTCATGGGGTGTGCGGTACAAGCCGAAGCCGCCGTTAGGGTTGAGGTTGGTGGCGGCATTTTCGTCTCAGGTGAGTTCTAGCGGTGGTGGTGGTGGTGGAGGAGAAAGCATAACGTTTGAGGAGGCAAAGAAACTGATGAGATTGGTGAATGTGGAGGAGTTGAAGAAGAAGTTAGGAACAATGCAAGGGAAGGAGGTGATTGGGTATTCGGAGCTTCTCCGAGCCTGCCATAGTATGGGTGTTTCCAAATCTGAAGATGAGGCGGCCACGTTTGCGCGTGTTCTTGATCAGGCTGGTGTTGTTCTGCTTTTCAGAGATAAAGTCTATCTTCATCCCGATAAGGTGGGTACCCACTCTCTCTCCAGCAAGGATCCTCTGTCCTTAAAAGTTCCTGTCCTGTTTCAAATCACTATTGAATCATATGAGAATCCTAAATTCACAAATCTCAAGATATATTTGAGTGATTTGAAACGGGGGATAGGAATTTTTGAGAACAGAGGATCCTTGGGCCTCTCTCTCTAGATACGTATAGAAATATTGTGTGTATTGGAATGGCAATTTGTTGGTTAAATCTTTGTGCATTACCAAATCATGATAGATTACGAGGCAGTTTTCACCATATTCGGAACACTTTTATGAATTTTATAAAAACTTTTTACATTTTTACATCTTTCAAAACACTTTTTATCTTAATCTCAAAATGAGTATTTAAAAATGTTAGACATCTAAAAAATTCTACTAAAATTTCTATCTGCATATGGGACTCATACAATGTGGATTTATGTGGATCCTACACAATTCTACTAAAATTTCTATCTGCATATGGGACTCATACAATGTGGATTTATGTGGATCCTACACAATACAAGGCCTTTGGTAGAATTTGTAGATCTCTAACATTTTTATGAAGAAATACACTATATTTTCAAAATTATCATTTTTTTTTTAATATGAATGTAATCTGATGATTCGATATTTGAACAATTTGAATTTTTTTTGGCATGAAGGTAAGTCTTATAAAATGAACGGTTTAATTATGAAAATAAGTTTCGAGATGGGCCCACTGAACCCAACATCACCATTCAGTTAGATGCAAAATTGGAAAATTATTCAATACTCCCGGAGCATCACGTGTCCATACTCCAAATCAATTACCAATTAGTTAGCCCCATGTTGTTCCCACATTTCCAACATAAATCGTGGGCCCTTTTGTCTCTTTATCAATAAAAACCTTATGGAGCACCACGTGTCCATACACGTGTCCATACTCCGGGAGTACTGAATAATATCACCCTGCAAAATTGGGGAGAATCCATTTCCATGAAGCATTTGTATTATTGGTTATTCCAAAATGAGATAAATGGTCTTCAGTCACTGGCAAGATATGTCTTGGCAGTTCAAGTGAGATAAAGAGTCATGAATTGTTTTTTTCCCAATACATTGCAGCTACTGCTCTTTAGAAGCCATACATATTTGACATTATTACTCAAACTGATCTCTGTTTCTCCATTTCCCTCTATATATATTCAGGTGGTTGATCTGGTTAGAAAAGCTGTGCCCCTTGCTCTAACATCTGAAGACGACCCCAGCAAGGAAGAACTAAGGCAGCTGCAAGAAAAGAAGGAAGAAATCGACATTGTTGCACATAAACAGGTCTGGCGAATCCTCTGGTCAGGGCTTGGGTTAGCTGTTGCACAAGTCGGGCTCTTCTTTCGCCTAACATTCTGGGAATTCTCCTGGGACGTTATGGAGCCAATTGCATTTTTTGCCACAGCCACTGGTATAGTCATAGGTTATGCCTATTTTCTGTTTACTTCAAGAGACCCAACTTATGAAGACCTACTCAAGAGGCTTTTTCTATCGAGGCAGAAGAAGCTGATCAAGAAGCATGATTTTGATGCCGAAAGGTTCATGGAGTTACAGAGGAAATGCAAATGTCCCCTGGATTCCCCTGGCTTTGTCAAACAAAGGATAGGGGTTGAAATGGAACATGAAGATGCTTTTCATTAGGCATCAACACATTTTATTTTTTAATTTTTTCGATGTATTCCTCGCCATGCAGGCCCTCGTATTTTTACCGAGTCAGGGGATACATATTTTCGAACTATTTGTTGGCTTTGACATTGATTCTCTTGTGGAAAGCCAGTCGATGGTAACGCTGATTGCTGTATTGAGGTAACCATTTATTGGCTGTTATGGTCGAATTTTGTAACTAGAAACTGCCTCTTTTTTGTGTTTGTGTGTGTGTGTGTTAATGATTTTATGAAATTTCAGTTATCTAACATATGATTGCAGCCTGATGAATTTCTTAATCGTTAATGTCATGTTTGGTTGGAAGATTTGGAGAGGGATTTAGAAATGAAAAGAGAATGGGTATGAAACTGGGTGAAATGTAAGTATATTTTATTATCATTTCATCTACCTTTTTTCTTTCCCTTTCCAAATCATTTTCTAAATCCTCCAATCAAACACAACGTAACGATCTGCATCTGACTTTCTTCAAGTTTTTATTTTAAGTACTTTTTAGAAATTGGGTTAGTGTCAAAAGAGTGAACCCTAACATGCATGAGTTCGTTCATGAGCTGATAGCTCTTTTACTGATGATTTGGTTTTGTGTATGTTGGAGGTTGTCTATTTCTCCTTTTGGGTTTCATATGCAAGACAATAATTGAGATCTTGACACAGCAAAATGGTGAAAAAAAGTTATATAGTCAAACTTCACGTGTATTGATTATGATAAAGCTGTGTAATCTGTTCTTTGACAATGAATTAGTGTTGTCCATTACTTGCATTAGGGAACGACGTCACTTTTTTTTCGCTCCATTGAAGACACACAGAGTTTCACTTAATAAATTATATTTATATTATTATATATGTGGGTTTTACCTTTACAATTCATTGAAGTAGTTACTCTTTAAATTAATAAACACTTGACATATAACATTGAATCTTACTTTTATCACTTCTTGTCATACAATACAATTCATCCAACATTTTTGACTTGTCCACTGTGATGCTCGTCAAGCAATGTAGCAAAAAACAAAGACAATGACAATAAATGACCTCTGTTACAGCAGTACCAAGAGGGGCACAAACAAGAGGGAAGAGGGGCAGGAATTGAGTGGGAGAAATGAGTTAACAACAGTTTGGATCCACTTGACATTCATTGTTGTGGATCCCATTCACATGCAGGAACCACGCCATTGAACGATGTGGACCCTGCGTGTGACATTGTTGCACACTGCAATGAATAGAAACTTTTGAGCGGCATGACATTAGATGTGTCAACGTGAATGTGATTGTGATTGTGATTGGTACCCTCAGTGAGCTGCTGATCATGGCAATAATCTTGGCAGGCCTTGGCCATGGATGTCGATGATGGAGAAGCTTGGGAACAGATCACTGTGGAGAAGACCTCCGACAGTTGGGCTCTTAGAGCCATGGCTTCTGCTAGAGCTGCATTTAACTCAGATTGCAAATGGAACACCTGGCTCTGCAGAGATGATACAAAGGCAACACAACCATACACAGGGTCCCTCAGCCTTGCCTTGGCTTCATAAACCATACTGGTCACAGCGTCTTCTCTGTCATCCACTGGAACCTCCTGTTTGAGATATAGCAGGTCACTAAGGGCACATATAAAAATAATTAACAATAATTTATGAAATGATGACAATGTCATCACTATGCGATTAGTTAAAACAATGTGATAGACTATTTTTAATATGACGGACTCCATTTAAAACGAAAGATTCTGCTATTTGAACCAACATGATGAAGTGTGCATTGTTCACACAGCACCACCAGACTATCTGATTTAAGTATTGTTGTATTAGCTTGACAAATGAAACAAATGAGATTCTTGATTGTAGCTACTTCATATGTGTTAAGAGTCTAATGAAACAAACGAGATTCTTGATTGTAGCTACTTCATGTACATTAAGAGTCTAACTCAAGACATCCGAGTTCAGTTGGAAACACCAAAAAGTTAAATTTTCAAAAACTATTAAAATGAAAGCGATATGAAACAATGGGATATTTTCTAACTCATTCTTTTTGTATACGAAAACACAAAAAGCAAAAACAAAACCGGATAAAGCGAAAAAAACAGTATCAAACAGAACTATAGATTTCATTACTTGTAACATTTTGCACACATTACTGGCACCGAAGACCTTGTGAACAGCCACGAACTTCTCCGGTTCAGAAGGTGGAAAGTAGGGCAAGAGAATGCAGCTGTTTGTGCATCTTCTTCGAAGAAACTTGCAAGCAGCACAAGGCATTATAGGTACTGCCATTGTTCAACAACACCACTGATTATGAGTCTTGTTCCTCTTACTTATAATTCCTTGGTATTTATTGGCAACTAAAGATATGCTCTAGGACTGTCGTCTCTCTCAATTTCTTTCCCAGCATCAAAATATTTTCCAACCTCTTTGAATTTGAATTACACTATTCATTAAAAAATATATATTTTATTTCAAATCTATTCAATTCTTCTCAATTTTATAAAAAACTACAGAGACAATTCAATGTACGAGACTCTCGTTATTTCAAAGTTTGAACGTGATTCAATGTACGAGACTCTCGTGACTAGAACAATCTTACTAAAATAAACAAAAAAAAAATTTAAAATTTGAAATAATCAAAAAGATTAAATCTATATCTATCTATCTATCTATCTATATATCTATACTATATATTAAGCAAAATGGGGTTTTAACTCACAAGCCTTGTGGGAGCTCTAATATCCCAATCCTAATTTTCTAATTTTTTGATTTAAAAAAAAAAAAACCCTCAGCATTTATTAATTTCTTTCAATCTCTATGCCTTTTGGGAGATTTGGTTAAAACTTGCTCATAATTAAACTTTAATGCATTAAAGACCAGCATAAACAAAAATTTTTAAAAATTTCAACACATCTATCTATCTATATTATATTATCTATATCTGTATCTATATATATGTATATATATATCTATCTATACTATATATTAAGCAAAATGAGGTTTTTAACCCACAAGTCATCCCAATCCTAATTTTTTAATTTTTTGATTTAAAAAAAAAAAACTCAGCATTTATTAATTTCTCTTAATCCCCATGCCTTTTGGGAGATTTGGTTAAAACCCCCTCATAATTATTTAATCGTTTTATTTACTATTTTAATGGTTCTTCTTTACAATTATTTTTTTTATTATGAAAAAAATATGATTGTAATTAGATAGCATAAAAATATTTGTGATTTGTATGAATAAGGTTCAAGGCCAATAGCTACCTTTTCTGATGCAGGGTTATTCTGTGTGCTCTCTCTCAGAG